TGTTACTCAGGGACAGGGACACAGAATTGTTACTTAGGGACACAGACACAGAATTGTTACTGAGGGACACAGAATTGTTACTGAGGGGACACAGAATTGTTGAGGGACACAGAATTGTTACAGGGACACAGAATTGTTACTCAGGGAGGGACACAGAATTGTTACTGAGGGACACAGAATTGTTACTGAGGGACACAGAATTGTTACTCAGGGACACAGAATTGTTACTCAGGGACACAGAATTGTTACTGAGGGACACAGAATTGTTACTGAGGGGAGGGACACAGAATTGTTACTCAGGGAGGGACACAGAATTGTTACTGAGGGACACAGAATTGTTACTGAGGGACACAGAATTGTTACTCAGGGACACAGAATTGTTACTCAGGGACAGACACAGAATTGTTACTGAGGGACACAGAATTGTTACTGAGGGACACAGAATTGTTACTGAGGGACACAGAATTGTTACTGAGGGACACAGAATTGTTACTCAGGACACACAGAATTGTTACTCAGGGGGACACAGAATTGTTACTGAGGGACACAGAATTGTTACTGAGGGACACAGAATTGTTACTGAGGGGACACAGAATTGTTACTGAGGGACACAGAATTGTTACTGAGGGACACAGAATTGTTACTGAGGGACACAGAATTGTTACTGAGGGACACAGAATTGTTACTCAGGGGACACAGAATTGTTACTGAGGGGGACACAGAATTGTTACTACTGAGGGACACAGAATTGTTACTCAGGGGACAGAATTGTTACTGAGGGACACAGAATTGTTACTCAGGGGACACAGAATTGTTACTGAGGGACACAGAATTGTTTGTTACTGAGGGACACAGAATTGTTACTCAGGGACACAGAATTGTTACTCAGGGACACAGAATTGTTACTGAGGGACACAGAATTGTTACTGAGGGACACAGAATTGTTACTCAGGGACACAGAATTGTTACTCTCAGGGACACACAGAATTGTTACTGAGGGACACAGAATTGTTACTGAGGGACACAGAATTGTTACTCAGGGACAGACACAGAATTGTTACTCAGGGACACAGAATTGTTACTGAGGGACACAGAATTGTTACTGAGGGACACAGAATTGTTACTCAGGGACAGGGACACAGAATTGTTACTCAGGGGACACAGAATTGTTACTGAGGGACACAGAATTGTTACTGAGGGACACAGAATTGTTACTGAGGGACACAGAATTGTTACTGAGGGACACAGAATTGTTACTGAGGGACACAGAATTGTTTACTCAGGGACACAGAATTGTTACTCAGGGGGACACAGAATTGTTACTCAGGGAGGGACACAGAATTGTTACTGAGGGACACAGAATTGTTACTGAGGGACACAGAATTGTTACTGAGGGACACAGAATTGTTACTCAGGGACACAGAATTGTTACTCAGGGACAGACACAGAATTGTTACAGGGACACAGAATCGTTTAATTAAAGAGTATGTCAGACAACATGCAGAGGAGTGGCAGAGGAGGCAATGTTTTAGGAGCGAGCAGACGTGGCAGCAGAGGAAGGGGTCGAGGCAGCACTAGTCGCAGCCAGAGGCCAGTGCTCCCGGTGTCATCCAGCGGTCGTGTCTCCACCGACAACCCTGCCGTCATCGATTGGTTGGCTCGTCGTCTTCCTCTTCCCAGGTCACCTCTGACACCTACAGCCAACGGTCGGTGGGTACGTCAGACACAACCGTTAGTTGGCATGGGCCCGGGAGCAAGCCCACTGAAATCACGTGTCCTCGACCTGCCCCTGTCCTTTGGTGTTCCCTCACCAAGCGAAGTATCGCATGCTGTGGGCTCAGCCCCACTGTACAGTGAGGAAGAGCTAACAGAGGGCGGTCAGGAACGGGGGGAGACATCCGCCTCTTCAGCAGCCAGGCGAAGAAGTAGTGGCGAGGAGAGTGGCTCGGTAGCCGGTCTAGAGAGACAGGTCTGTCTCCTGACCCACACGCAGCCGAGGGGGCTAGTAGTGAGGCGGAGACCCTAATTGATGATGATGAGGCTGATCGCACTTGGCAGCCTCGTCGTCATCAGGCTATTGCTTCCGCATCATCAGGAGAAGAGGGTGGCAGCTTGGCAGCGAGCAAAACAGTCGGTGGGTTGCCCAGGAGGCAGCAGGGTCGCAGCAGTGTCAGTGGAGGCAAACGGCCACGGAGTACAGCACCAGCTCCACTGCAGCCTACCACCACGGCCAGTAGTGGTGCCGGTGTGCACGGAGGAAGCAGCAGTCAGCCAGTGAGGAGTATCGGGGGCAAAGTTTCCTACTCGGCGGTGTGGCAAATTTTTTGTCAAGCCGCCCGAGGAAGTAAACGTAGCCGTATGTCGACTATGTGGCCAGAAAGTCAAGCGTGGCCAGGGGGCCCATGTTGGGACTACAGCGTTGCGGCAGCATATGCAGCGTGCCATTTGGTGGCCTGGGAAAACCGTGATAAAGATACGGCGGTTCTCTGCCTGCCCCAGCCCCCGCTCCATCACCCGCTCCGTTACTTGCTCCGTCACCCGACGTCAATCGCCCTCTATCAGCCAGTCAAGGCTCCAACACCTCTGCTGAGGGGAGTTGTCGCTCGTTGGCATCTTCCGCTCGTTCTGATGCTCCTTCTCCTGCTACTCCTCTTCACGGATTCCGTCAGCAGTCTTTCTTGGAATCCGTTTCCAAGAGACAACAGTTTGCGAGCACGCACCCGACGGTGCAAAAGCTGAACGTCCTCCTGTCCAAGTTGCTGGTGCTGCAGTCCCTCCCTTTCCAAGTGGTGGACTCAGCACCTTTCCGAGAAATGATGGCTTGTGCCGCGCCGCGGTGGAGAGTGCCAAGCCGTCATTTCTTCGCCAAAAAGGCAGTGCCAGCCCTGCATTCACATGTAGAAGAGATGGTGGGCCAGTCTTTGAGCATGTCGGTCTCTCTGCCAAAGTGCACGGCAGCGCCGACGTGTGGAGCTGTAACTACGGTCAGGGACAGTACATGTCATTTACGGCCCACTGGGTGAACGTGGTGCCGTCACAGCCGCACCAGCAACTTGGACAGGTCACGCCGCTTTTGCCTCCACGTTTGCACGTCCTTGGTCCGGCAAAGATGTCCGCCTCTACCACCTCTTCTTCCGCCGTGTCCTCAGCCGCCACCCCCGTGCCAAGTCCCATTACCCGACCGGCATATCACATGTGCAGGGCGCAACGGTGTCACGCTGTGCTGCACCTGGTATGCCTTGGCGAACGTAGTCACACAGGGGAGGAACTTCTCAGTGTAATGAACAGAGAAATCGACAGATGGCTGTCTCCGCGCAAACTGAAAATCGGAACCATGTTGACCGACAACGGAAAGAACATGGTGTCTGCTCTGCGTCAAGGAAGGTTGTGCCATGCGCCATGCATGGCTCACGTGTTCAATCTGTTGTCAAGCGGTTCCTAAAAATCCACCATCCCACTGCAAGACATCCTTAAAATGTCACGTAAACTTTGCATGCATTTCAGCCATTCCTACACCGCAAAGCACACCCTCCTTGAGCTGCAGCGGCAGAACGGAATTCCACAGCATCGCCTGATCTGCGACGTTGCAACAAGGTGGAATTCAACCCTACACATGTTAGACCGCCTTTACGAACAGCGAAAGGCCATCACCGATTTCCTGATGTTACAAGCGGATAAAGGTACTCCCCTGTGTAACTTCGATGTCAGCCATTGGCAGCTCATGCGTGACACCTGCCGCTTGCTCAGGCCCTTTGAGGAGGCCACGCTATTCGTGAGTCGGCAGGACTATGGGATGAACGACGTCATTCCTCTGTTGCACGTCCTGGAACAAATGCTGTTAACAATGGCTGGTCAGGGTGCGGTAGACGTGGCGCACAGATCTCAACGCCACATGACCCCTGTGGGGGGGCAGGACAGGAAGAAGAGGAGGAGGTAGAGGAGGACATTTGTGCTCAGGAATTATTGAGTGAAATGGGTGGTTTTTCCACTCAGCGGACAGGAGTGGAGGAGCAGGAGCATCTGGTAGAGGAGGAGGAGGAGACAGAGGACCCAGACGCACCGTGGCAGTATGCTGTGGAGATGGAGGCAGGGGGAGTCCCTCGCATTCCTTGGCACAAATGGCCCATAGCATGCTCGTTGTTGCTTGCGTAGCGACAGCCGAATAATAACCATCAGACAGAGGGATGACTTTTGGCTGTCCACCTTGTTGGACCCTCGCTACCGTTCAAAAATGGTGGCCTTTTTCACACCTGCTGAGAGGGAGGCCAAAATAACGTACTATAAAAACCACCTATGTAGTCAGTTGGTCTCTGCCTTTCTGCGCCAACGTCCATCCTCAGACACTGTGGGCCCTGTGCGCTCGCGTTCCGCTGCCATGGCAGCAGGGGGGAGGGGTGGGGTGGTAGGAGCAGTGGCAGCTCCACCAGCAGCGGCTGCCTCAGTCTGCAGTCGATGATGAGTAGCTTTCTTCACCAGCGCAGTGAGGAAACTACTAACCAGCCGCAGCAGCAGCAGCAGCATCAGGTGGACCTGGAGCAGGACCTCAAACAACAGGCTTGGGCCTACTTGGACAGCACCCTGCCAACCGAGGTAGACAATCCCCTTGACTGGGCAACGAAACTTGACCTTTGGCCCCAACTAGCTGAATTTGCCCTTGAAAGGCTGTCATGCCCGGCCAGTAGCGTGGCATCGGAGCGCGTGTTTAGTGCGGCAGGAGGTATTGTAACTCCGCGGAGGACACGACTGTCCCCAAAGTGTGGAGAGACTCACGTTTGTGAAAATGAATCAGGCGTGGATTAGTCTGGATTTCAAACCACCAGTTCCTGACACAACTGACTAAATCCGCCATGAATCATGCCCCAAACATGTGCCACTTTCACTTTCAGGTCTCCTCACACTGCTGGTGTGTTCCATTTTTTGTCATAGGGTGCTGGCAGATTACGGGCCTCCCATAGCTGCTGCCAGGCCCCTAATCTGCCATGGGCCCCTGTACCGCCTCCTCATGCTGCTGCCAGGTCCAGAGTCTCTCATGGGTCCCTGTACGGCCTCCCATTGCTGCTGTCTCCATCGCCACACTCTGCCATGTGCCACTTTCAGGTCTCCTCACACTGCTGGTGTGTTCCATTTTTTGTCATAGGGTGCTGGCAGATTACGGGCCTCCCATTGCTGCTGCCAGGCCCGTAATCTGCCATGGGCCCCTGTACCGCCTCCTCATGCTGCTGCCAGGTCCATGCTGCTGCCAGGTCCACATTGCTGTGTCTCATGCCCATGCCATGTGCCACTTTCAGGTCTCCTCACACACTGCTGGTGTGTTCCATTTTTTGTCATAGGGTGCTGGCAGATTACGGGCCTCCCATTGCTGCTGCCAGGCCCGTAATCTGCCATGGGCCCCTGTACCGCCTCCTCATGCTGCTGCCAGGTCCAGAGTGTGTCATGGGTCCCTGTACGGCCTCCCATTTGCTGCTGCCAGGAGGCAGCAGGGTCGCAGCAATGTCTGTGGAGGCAAACGGCCATGGAGTAGAGCACCAGCCTCTCCACTGCAGCCTATGTGCCACGGCCAGTAGTGGTGCCGGTGCTGTGAGGTTCCAAGTAGCAGTCAGCCAGTGAGGAGTAGCGGGGGCAAAGTTTCCTACTACTGCGGCGGCCCATTTTTTGTCAAGGGCCCGGGAAGTTACGTAGCCTCCTCATGTCGACTATGTGGCCAGAAAGTCAAGCGTGGCCATGGGGCCCATGTTGGGCCTACAGCGTTGCTGTCTGCATCTGCAGCGTCGCCATTCGGTGGCCTGGGAAAACCGTGATGCCAGATACGGCAGGTCTGCCTGCCACTGCCCAGGGTTCCATTTTTGTCATAGGGTGCTGGCAGATTACGGGCCTCCCATTGCTGCTGCCAGGCCCTTAATCTGCCATGGGCCCCTGTACCGCCTCCTCATGCTGCTGCCAGGTCCACAGTGTCTCATGGGTCCCTGTAACCGCCTCCCATTGCTGCTGTCTCCATCGCCACACTCTGCCATGTGCCACTTTCAGGTCTCCTCACACTGCTGGTGTGTTCCATTTTTTGTCATAGGGTGCTGGCAGATTACGGGCCTCCCATAGCTGCTGCCAGGCCCCCCTAATCTGCCATGGGCCCCTGTACCGCCTCCTCATGCTGCTGCCAGGTCCAGAGTCTCTCATGGGTCCCTGTACGGCCTCCCATTGCTGCTGTCTCCATCGCCACACTCTGCCATGTGCCACTTTCAGGTCTCCTCACACACTGCTGGTGTGTTCCATTTTTTGTCATAGGGTGCTGGCAGATTACGGGCCTCCCATTGCTGCTGCCAGGCCCCTAATCTGCCATGGGCCCCAGTACCGCCTCCTCATGCTGCTGCCAGGTCCAGAGTGTCTCATGGGTCCCTGTACGGCCTCCCATTGCTGCTGTCTCCATCGCCACACTCTGCCATGTGCCACTTTCAGGTCTCCTCACACTGCTGGTGTGTTCCATTTTTTGTCATAGGGTGCTGGCAGATTACGGGCCTCCCATTGCTGCTGCCAGGCCCGTAATCTGCCATGGGCCCCAGTACCGCCTCCTCTGCTGCTGCTGCCAGGTCCACAGTCTCTCATGGGTCCCTGTACGGCCTCCCATTGCTGCTGTCTCCATCGCCACACTCTGCCATGTGCCACTTTCAGGTCTCCTCACACTGCTGGTGTGTTTCCATTTTTTGTCATAGGGTGCTGGCAGATTACGGGCCTCCCATAGCTGCTGCCAGGCCCCTAATCTGCCATGGGCCCCTGTACCGCCTCCTCATGCTGCTGCCAGGTCCAGAGTCTCTCATGGGTCCCTGTACGGCCTCCCATTGCTGCTGTCTCCATCGCCACACTCTGCCATGTGCCACTTTCAGGTCTCCTCTCACACTGCTGGTGTGTTCCATTTTTTGTCATAGGGTGCTGGCAGATTACGGGGCCTCCCATTGCTGCTGCCAGGCCCCTAATCTTCCATGGGCCCCTGTACCGCCCTCCTCATGCTGCTGCCAGGTCCAGAGTGTCTCATGGGTCCCTGTACGGCCTTCCATTACGGCCTTCCATTGCTGCTGTCTCCATCGCCACACTCTGCCATGTGCCACTTTCAGGTCTCCTCACACTGCTGGTGTGTTACATTTTTTGTCATAGGGTGCTGGCAGATTACGGGCCTCCCATTGCTGCTGCCAGGCTCGTAATCTGCCATGGGCCCCTGTTGTCGCTTGTTGGCATATTCCGCTCGTTCAGATGCTCCTTCTCCTGCTACTCCTCTTCACGGATTCCGTCAGCAGTCTCTTTCTTGGAATCCGTTTCCAAGAGACAACAGTTGCTGCTGCTGCCAGGTCCAGAGTGTGTCATGGGCCCCCCGTACCGACTCCTCATGCTGCTGCCAGGGCCCGTAATCTGTCATGGGCCCCTGTACCGCCTCCTCATGCTGCTGCCAGGTCCAGAGTGTGTCATGGGTCCCTGTACGGCCTCCCATTGCTGCTGCCAGGCCCGTAATCTGCCATGGGCCCCCATACCAACTCCTCATGCTGCTGCCAGGCCCGTAATCTGTCATGGGCCCCTGTACCGCCTCCTCATGCTGCTGCCAGGTCCAGAGTGTGTCATGGGTCCCTGTACGGCCTCCCATTGCTGCTGTCTCCATCGCCACACTCTGCCATGTGCCACTTTCAGGTCTCCTCACACTGCTGGCGGTTTCCATTTTTGTCATAGGGTGCTGTATGGCCTCCCATTGCTGCTGCCTCCACCGCCACACTGTGGCTCCACACTCTGGTTTTGGCCCCGTGACTGCCCAAATGAGTGAAGTGTGCGGTGATTCTAAGATCGACGGCACTCATCTGCATGTCATACTGACTGTCAGTATTATTTCTCTTCCCCAGCAGACTCCAAGGGCATTTAAATTAAGGGTACAGTGTTCTGCACTAATATAAAGGCTCTCTGAAGCCTAGAAACACCCTTTTATAAGTTAAATTCGCAGCGAATATATTCGACTCGAATCAAAATTTTTTCACGAATTCGCCGAATCAGTCGAATCGAATTTTTGAATAATTCGCTCATCTCTAATTAACACCTTCTCATCCAGTCCTCATCAACTCTTCTCTACTTTTAACTCTCTTCTTGGTCCTCCACTGCTCCACCCACTAACTCAATCACTGCCCAGGAGATTGCAGGTGCACTCAACACTACCCTTATTCAACCCTGCTACTACAGACAAGGTTGCTAAAATTCTCTCTAATGCCCACTTAACCACCTGTCCCCTGGACCCTATTCCCTCTCAAATACTGTGGTCACCCTGTGGCTCTATTCTACACTCTCACATCTTCAATCTCTCCCTCTCTTCTGGCAACTCTTCCAACACTTAAAAAGCCTTCCTTGGACCCCACCAATCTTAACAACTTATATGCCCAATCTCCTTGCTCCCATGTTCCTCCAAACTCCTTGAACGCCTGGTCTATAACCAACTGAGTGGCCCTCTCATCAATAGTAACCTTCTTGATCCCCTTAAGTCTGATTTTCGCCCTCACCACTCCACAGAAACTGCTCTCCTAAAAACTCACAAACGATTTACTAACAACAAAAACCAATGGACACTATTCTGTACTCCTACTTCTGGACCTCTCAGCTGCCTTTGATATGGTTGACCACCCCCTCCCCCTCCCCCTCAAAAACATTACTCCCTTGGTATCCATAACTGTGCTCTTCATTAGTTCTCACCCTACCTATCCCACCGCACCTTAAATGTCACTTACAATTCTACTTCCTCCTCTCCTCTTCCTTTTTCCATTGGGGTCCCCCAAGTTTCTGTTCTTGGACCTCTCCTATTCTCAATCTACACCTGCTCCCTGGAACCCATGGCTTTCAATATAATTTCTACGCTGACAACACCCAAATCTATCTCTCACACAACAGTCTCCTCACGTATCACTAACTTACTGACTGAAAGATCAGCCTGGATGCCACATCACTTCCTCAAACTCAATCTAACCAAACCGAGCTCATAATATTTACTCCTCCACATGCCCCTTCCCCTGACTTCTCTGTCAAGATCAATGGCACAACCATCAACTTGTCCCCGCATGCCAGGATGCTAGGTGTAATCCTGGACTCTGAACACTTCTTTCAGCCCCACATCCAATCACTTTCCAAAGTTTGCCATCTCAACCTCCGCAACATCTCCTAAATACCCCCCTTTCTAACCAATGACACACCACAAAGCTCCTAATTCACTCCCAGATTATCTCTCACCTCGACTACTGCAACCCCCTCCTCATTGGCTTACCTTTACATAGGCTATCCCCCCTCCAGTCCATCATAAATGCTGCTGCCAGACTCATCCACCTTACCATCTGTTCAGTGTCTGCTACGCCTTTCTGCCTCTCCCTCCATTGGCTGCCACTCACCCAACAAAATAAATTAAAAATACTAACAAAAGAGGGGCGCATGCGCTGCCGGCTCCTGGTTGGACGTGAGATAGGCACCGCTCCGTCCACCCACCAGAGCTAAACACGCCGCACACCCGTACCGAGGGACACCGCGACTACAGGGAGGGAGATAAGAGGTGTGCACACCTCAGCATCCATGCCACGCCGCTGAAAAATCCCTGGACCACCAGGGAAACTCACTCACTTCTTTTCCCTTGTCACGGACGAAATCCAAGATGGCGCCGGCACAGGTGATTACAGTAGCCATGAGGGAGAACACACAGTTCAGCCCACAAATGCCAGGCTACGGTACTCCCTATTCCCTGGTGAGTCTTCTCCCCCTCTGTCCCCCACAACACGCAGCCTGGCCAAATCAAAGCCTCGCCTGGATATAGACCCCGCAGCTGATTATCAGGCCCTTAACAAGCCACCCCCTCATTTCAGCGCTGATATGCCTGTGATAGAGTCATTCCCTGCATCAGACCAACCTATCACCGAATTACTGTATGCATGAAAAACATGCTATTATCGCTTAGACAATCCCTACCTAGCGATATACAGTCGTCACTAGTTTAGATTACGTTCCTGGTCAAAAAACAGGAGCGCAGATTACACCATATTGAATCCAGAATGGAAGAGATTATCACAGTGCATAATGACCTGATTGACGCACACATTGACCACACATCGGACTTCGAACAAATAAATCTGTATCTAGTGGATCTAGAAGATAGATCACGACGCAATAACATCAAATTCAGAGGTATACCTGAAAATGTCCCTAATGAAACGCTACTATCCTATATACAACAGTATATAAAACACCTCATCCCATCTCTCTCAGATTTGGAAGTAGCCATAGACAGGGCTCACCGACTACCTAAACTGTCATTTCTCTCAGCATCAGTCCCAAGAGATGTCCTGGCACGGTTAAACTTTTACCACATCAAAGAAAAAATTATGTCGGCAGCCAAAATCCATCCCCTCACTCCCGCCATCGCACGCAAATATTCGGCTGTTTGCTGACCTATCAAAGTCTATCAAATTATTACTATGACTAAAGCTTTACAAAACCACAGCATAAGCTATCAATGGGGGTTCCCAACTAAAATTAAGATTAAACAACATGGTAGAATTTTCACAATCAAAAACCTTGAAGCGGGCTTGGAGCTACTAAAGGCATAGAATATACTGCCTGCAGATCCTCCACATTCCAACACTACTAATATCCAGCAAATGGAGGCAGAGTGACCCTAACCTAGCACTCCTATATACTTCCAACGCTTCACCTCGGGAAATATACCTTACTCTACTAATCTCTGACGATCGGCCCTGTTCTTAAAGAAAAAAAAAAATGTTTTTGATACCGAAAAATGTTTGGCATGACCTTTTCTAAGGTCAAAGCCTTTTCAAACCCCCCAAGTTTGAAGTAGCTCCTCTTGCTACTCAAGTCACTTGCCTTTTCCACAAGTTTTTTTTTATCCTCTTTTTCCCACCTCCCTCCCTCTTCCACTGACCTCACCAGTCGATCAACTGCATCACTTCTTTACAGGAAATCTACAAAACATCATGGAATACTCACTCTAACTCATCGATCGAGCCAAGACTCCACCTCCCTGACATCAGAATATGCCTCTCCACAACTTCAACCATCTGAACACGCTCATCTCAAACAACATCTCGACCTTTTCACTAACCAACCCACGGATGTACACTATGATTAATGTTACATCATTCAATGTTCGTGGCTTAAACTCACCCTTCAAGAGATCGATGCTTCAAAAAGAAACTCGAACGTCTCAAGCAGACATTCTCTTTTTACAAGAAACGCATTCCGCAACAACCAAGACCCCTAAATTGCAATTACACCGATTCTCACACATCTTTATGGCTACCAACTCCAAGAAAAAAAACGGTGTCATCACGGCTATAAAAGACTCTGTTCAGTTCTGATATATATCTGAAATAGCTGACCCACAAGGCCGATACCATATTTTACTATGCCACATAAACGACGTCCCCTACACTCTAGTGAATGCCTATGGCCCCAACAAAAATCAGTTGCAATTCTTCCACAAACTCTACGCCACTATCTCTGCTCCAAAACAAGGCATACTTCTCATCGGTGGGGACTTCAATGTAATTGGCAACCCTCTTCTAGACTTGTCGTCCAGCAAAAGATCTCACAAACAAAATTTCAACCTTTTCCTCAACGACAATGACCTTTACAATATCTGGAGATAACAACACAGTGACAAGAAAGATTACACCTACTTCTCCCCTTCTCAACTCTCCTATTCCAGGATTGACTTTTTCATCACAGATAAATGGACACTACAACATGTACTGTCATCAAAAATCGGAACCATAACATGGTTAAACCACGCTTCAATCAACATAGCCTTAGACGACAATCAACGCTCTACAATCCCACCCATCTGGAGACCTGGAGACTGAACTCTACAATTCTAAAGAACACAGAAAACCAAAAACACCTACTAGAAGCCCACAATCTCTTTTTCGATTGTAATGACACACCGGACATTTCTATAACCACTTTATGGCCTGCTTTCAAAGCTTACATGAGAGGTATTCTTATACAACTAAATTCCCGAATCAATAAAAAACAATCGTAACAAATTGACCAACTCCTAAACTCCATAAAAATAAATGAGGAAATTAACAAAAAAAACCCAAGTGCTTCTACTTCCAAATCCCTAACAGCAGACAGGAACAAACTCCAATTACTATTACTCTACAAATATGACCTTAACCTTCAAAAGACAAAATCAAAATTCTATTCCCTAGGTAATAAAGCAAATTCACTCATAAAAATAAGTAAACAAAGACGGCTCAAATCCAAGATCACCCTAATTCAACACCCCACCACTTGAATCTCGCTCACAAATACACAAGATATAGCCAACGCTTTTGCGAACTATTATCAATCTCTATATAATATTAAAGATGATCCGGACACAACACAACCGACAACCACATCCATCCTTAACTTCCTAGCAACCGCTAATCTCCCCCAACTCACCCCTTCACAACTTGAATCTATCGCTGCATTGATATCTCCCGCAGAAATAGAAAAAAAAAACATTAAATCTTTACCTCTTAATAAATCTCCAGGGAAGGATGGATTTACGAACGAATACTACAAAATATTCGCCCCTAATCTTGAACCACACCTACACCTATCTGTCCTCTTCAACCAAGCAGCCTCCGCAGGACAATTCCCCAAAGACATGCTACAGTCTATAATCACAACCATCCCCAAAACCCGGTAAAAACCCCCAAATGGTCCAAAATTACAGACCAATCTCGTTATTGAACACAGACATCAAACTATACGCTAAAATAATTGCCCAGAGACTACTTCCTCACCTCCCTACACTAATCCACCCAGACCAAGTGGGATTTTTCCCTGGTCGACAAGCCCCAGATGCAACCAGGCAACTAATATCACTTTTTACATAACCTTGAAAGCTCCTGACAACCTTCCT